ATTTCTACTGAAAGGAGAAAGGTGTGGGACTAGCTTTCAAATATATTCTCAGCAGAAGAGTTGAGAATGTTTCCAGGTGAAGATCTCCTCTAAATGCTAAGCTCCTGCTTCTATGATATCGCAGCAATGGAAATTTAATAACCTTACAGTATATAATTTTTTTCACGGCAGGTCCTGAGATGAGTGTATGAACTCAACTAAATTAAGGCTTACATATGCACAAGGTGTCATTTGCAGTTACCAAAGGGGCTTTTCTTTTAAATACTGATCTTAGGCCAGTCTTTAAAACATTTTGAAGGTTTTACTTTACTGTCATTTTCCAGTTAATGAGTGAGGGTCAAAAGAGCTGTGTGTTATGGTGGATTTGGTGAGTAGGGCAGGTGATGACTCCTCCAATTCTCACTATGTGGCTGCCTTGGCCTAGTGAGCTATTGCACACCTTAAGATACACACAGAAGAGCAGGATCAGAGGGGCTGGGGAAAGGGAAGATCAAACCTGGGCCTACCACCTTACTTATTATTTGACTTTAATTTTGGTTGAAATGTAAGCTCTCCAAGCCATTGTGTGCTTTCAAATAGCACTGATGTTGAAGAAATACATGTAAATACACATAAACAACACTTTTTTTCTGTAATTATAAAGGATGGGAAGGATGGGCTATGTGACCTTCTGTACGCTCTAGTGGTGCTTTATTGACTACCTAAATACACACAGCTATAGGGCACTCTGCAATTTGACCTGAAGTGAACTCTTAACCAATCTGTTTTCTCCACAGCAGTGTTCGCTAATAATTTTTTCTCATCTTTAAGAATTCATAGGCTGGTGATCTCATATGCAGTCAAGGCAGGGAAACCTTTCCATTAACTTTCACAGACCTTGGTCTGAGCCACATATTTTGTAAGGAAAATTCTATGCTCAGCTCAGTGACAGATAATATTATGCACATATATTTAAACAGGATGGTCTTTAATTCGACCAAGTCTAAAAATAAGACTTTAATACCTGCTAAATTAAAATTACACTTGGGAGCAGGCATTGCCATCCCTTTATGGGTCTACCAGGATCAGGAAACAGAGCTCCTTTCTCCATTTGGTCTTTCCCACTCACCAGCTGACCTCTGCAACTCTCTCTGCGAGGAGAAAGCTGTTCTGCAAACGACCAAATTCTTGCTTTTGACACAATGAGCAGATTTCACCCTATGGTTTGAGCTCCAACAGCAGCATGAGGAACTTCTGCCTTCCCAGGTGTGCAGGTGGCACAATGATCAAGAATAAACAGGACTGTGCCACGGGGTTCCTGGCAGCATACACCCTCAGGCCATGGGTGTATCGCATGCTGGCAGCATCGCTGGCTGGTGGGACACACCTGGGTCATGCCACTCGTGGACAGCAGGACAGGTAGAGAAAGAGCCTGCCCAACTCCTCTGGTTGCTGCGTCTGACTCATTTTGTGCTCTGCCCAGCCGGCTACAAATGCACATCGAGTCTTCATAAGATGCTTTGAGTCAAGGATGAAAATAACTCCCTTAAACTAGAAAGGAGTTGGCCTGGAATGCAGCTGATGCCAAGCTGAGGGTCTGGTGCTGTATGCTTTTTTATGAGCTTTGGATTGATTTTTTTTATGCTTTGAGTTTCTTTTTGTAACAGGAACTGGAATATCAACTGGGGCTGAGCCTAAGAAAATTAACATGTGAAGAAAGGCATGTAAATGTTGTGTAAATTATGTTATAGAGTATCTTAGAAAACATTATTTTTATAACAGAATCAAACTGACAGGGAAATGAAGACTTGTTACTTGGATTTTTCAGAGAACCTTATTGTTGAATAGCAAGCAAAAAGTAAATACTAAAGTAATTCATTGAATTGCAGCAAGTTGTTTAGTTAGGTGCAGCAGGGACCATTGTTAGAACTTGTTTTACAAGCATTTAACACTTTCATTAATAACCTGAAAGAGAGGGTTCACAGCATGCTAATTAAATGAAGAGATAATTCTAAATTGAAAGAAGTCACAAAGCATCAATGGGGACTGAGACATAATGTGACAGGATTGAAAAGGTTAGACAAATAAGAAAGAGAAAATGAGATTCAAACTTGGAAATGTGTGGTCAGAGGTATCTTAATAAAAACTGCCCTATACAGGGGAGAAGTAAGTGAGAAATAAGCAAAGCAATAACACTGAAGGAGTAAGTGAACTGGATATTGGTTGGCACGTAATGCAGAAGCTGCAAAGACTACTTTGATTCTGCGCTGCTTGTGAAGAAGTCTGTCAGTGGGAGAGCTTACAGCAACTTTTAGGAGCTCAAGGATGGAAGGAGGCTCATGCATTCATTTATGAGGAAAAAATTAAGAGGGTTGCATTCAAGATCAGGCAAGTGGTAAGTGAGGTTGTGCTTGAAAAATACATGTATTTGAAGAATATAAAGAGCAGAAGAAAACTAAGACTTGAAGTTTGAATCTGGTAGAAAGTCTTCAGTGAGGAAAAGAACTAACATGATCTGGGATACTTAAAGCAATGGTTCAGCATATCACTAGATGAGATAGTACAAAGAAATTTCTATTAGGCACGAGGATCAATGGAATATAGCTCTTCCCTCTCCTATGTGTTGTCTATGATTTCATCTAACTTCTATTTAACGTGAGTTGAGCTTATTCCTAAATCTCACTGGAGTGAGTAAGATATAATGCTGTGGTGAAATTTAAGCACACTGTAATATGAAATCAATGCACCCCAGTGCTTAGAATTTTCCTGCTTTGATTGCAAGACTGCAGCTTTACAGATGGTCCAACAATCCACTGCAGCATTAAGAGGCATTATCTGTTTGTTTTAAAGCACTGAAAATATCATTCACCTGTGCACTAATCCCAATATTTTATGGTATATCTCTTCCATTTTTTCATTTGTGTCAGCTGATCCATTATACTACATTATCTCTCACTAACACCCTTTTCTCTCTGCTGTAGATGGCACAAATGACATACAGCATACTTGGGTAAAATCCTAGTAATTTAAGAGCCTCAGTTCCAATTTCAAAAGGAAGAGAGGTAAAATCCAGCACCTGAATTTTGCTGTCAGCTCAGAGACAGGCCCTTTGCTGTGTCCTGCTCCCTGTGCTCTGGGGGTTTCCCCATTTTGTGTGCTCCAGAAGAGAACACTGTCCAGAGGACACAGAGGATGAGAGTAGAAAATGTGGGGTGGGTTCAGGGCTGGCTGGTTTAGGGCTAGGAGAGAAAAAAAATGGGTGAAAAATTAAGAACGATGCATTATTTCTAAGCAAACCTAGAAGACATAAAAGTTAAATGATTCTCTAAAGCTCCATGAGTCAAAAGATCCCATTGACTTCGGTGGGGTCCTTTAGCCACCAGGGATATAGTCCCATGGCCCTGATCTCTCTTTGGGCTCACTTCTGTAACTGAGCACAAACCCTAATTCATGGACTATCAGAATTGTCATAATTCTGGTATCTACTCTGAGTGTCTCTGGAAACATTGCCCTTTGGTACAGGGTGTTGCAGAGAAAGAGCTCTTACAACTGTTTAAATTGTCTCTTAGCTGGTTTGGAGTACTGTGAATTACTGTTGCAGGACTGAGGTTTGCACAAGCCACATGTGTGTAATATTCATATGGCCACAAGAACTGAGAGGGAAGTTGGAGCATATGTGCCTCACTAATCCTCTGTACTGCTGTGGTGTGAGTGTAGGACTTCATTAGACAGCAGCCTAGGCCAAACATGATAACAAAACATGTCCCACTAAACAGTGGCAGAAAAGCATAACTTTCTACTGCGCAATTTGCAACTAAAGCACACAATTTCTTACAGAGCTTCCTGCACATGGACATCCATGGGTAGAAAACATGCTACAGATTCTAGCTGCACCTTCTTTTTCTTTATCAGACAGTAACTACTACATACACCCTTTCTGCAATATATATCGAATGCATGCCACATCTCCAGGGCCCTCAGTAGATCTGAGTACACACATAAATTTATGCATCTCAGTGCACATCCATGAGGCAGCAAGGCCATGCCAGAACTATAGAGGGTTTTTATGATGTGACATTAATTTGTTATGGGTGCTCTTGAATACAATCTTTTTTTCTTCTTCTTCTTCTTCTTTCTTTTAAAATAAATTCCATTAATGAAGTGTTACCCTTTGATTACATTCTCAGTCACAACTGACTCAGTATACTTCACTTGTTGATGTGTGAAGTACCCAATCAGGATGCCAATCTTCTTTCATGTTATTTCTTTAAAACAGAAATAGTACTTGCAGTTCCATCAGAGAGGTACAACTAGAGGCATTAGATGAACAGAAATCCTCCTTAGAGAAGAATCATTGTTAGCTGTTGCCTTTCAAACCATCTCATCTCACAGAAAGCTCTCTTTGCTACTTTTCAAAGAAGAAATCAAGGGACAGGTTCTCCAAGGCATTCAAGCAGAGGAGCAGGAGTATCCGTGCAACCACATTCAGAGTTTGTGCACCTCACAAATTCAGTGAACTTCCTCTGCATGTACATCCACGCACCAGAAGTAGCGAGCTGGTGCTTTTTGACAATAAACACACTAGAGTTAGCTGCCATGGGGATTCTGGGTGTTGACAAGAATACGGATGGCTGGCTGAAGAGATCATTTAACCCTGCTAGTAATGAGCTCATTTGAAGCAAGCTCCCTGCTACTAATTATCGATTAGTTCTGACTGATTCATCACCAGCTTTGATGCTGCTATTTCATAAACAGAACATGAACGGCTGAGTTTAAGAAACTGCATAATTTGCAGATTTCAGTAAAAACAGAATTGCCTCGATATTATGTCAATTACCACCAGACTGATTTTCTTTCCTTTACTCCCTGTATTTGTGTGCACACACACATATGTGTGAACGTGTAATTATTGTGTGCCTGTGTATGGAATGCCTATATAATATTTTAATAAGGACAGTACTGCAATGCAATCTAGCTTATATATACACACATTACACTAAAGGAATAAGAATTTTCCTTACCTATTTCACTCATGGATATCCCCGGAGCTAGTTGCCCATTGTTGAAAGAGCTATAGGTAAACAAGTTTGGTACAGAGGTGAGGTCATAGATAGGTTCCTGCTTTATCTGTTTGATTCCAGTCATGTCTAACCCAGACTGGTCTGGGGAAGGCTGAGCAGAATCCACGTTATAATAACCCTCAGACTTCGGCAGGTCGATGACATGCCCGTTTGAGTAGGTGCTGCCAGTTTCGTTATTCAGGTTGCTCAAGCCATTGCTGATGCTGTTGCTGTAAACCCTGGCGAGGGCTTCTGCCTCACCGCTCTGCTGCTGCCGTTGTTCCTGCAGTCGCTGCTGGTGCTTCTGCACTTCAGCATACAAGCTATCCCTCTGCTTTTTGGACATTCTTCCAAACTTCACAGCTGAAAAGCAAAGCACAATGTGAACCATTGTTGTCTTTCATCTCTTCTTGATTCCCCTCAACCTCACCACTCTTTTGATATTTTTTTTTGGCATTATTTTTGCTGTGGAAACTTGTCTTTTTCTGTGGAAATGAGAGAGGATGCAAAGATTTACACTATATGCATCTCACAAAGGAAAAAGTATTGTGTGCTTGGATTTACAAGGTGATGACAATGACTCCTATTTGACAGAAGGGCCTCAGTCAAGCAACTTACTTCTCACTGTGAATGTTAAAAAGACCATATATGCTTTTATATCTCTGTGTTCACTAAACAACAACCCAGAGCTATGTGAAATGTACAGTCTGTAGATTCATATCCCTTGTGATTTACCAAATTTCTGCAAACCTTTAAACAGTGCACTAACAGGATTAGCACTCTGGATGAAAACAACCCCTAAAGCCTTATTATTGCATCCTTTAAATTGAGTGTTATCTTCACACTTTTAAAAAAAATCTTACAGGTTAAAGTTAGAACCTAGAGGAAAATAACAGATTTGAAGCTAAACAGCACAAATGAATGTCATCTTTTCCACAGAGGAAAGTCTCAGGGATTTACACAATCAATTTACATAATCTCCATGCACAAATCCATGCATTCCTTCTGATGAGAAAAGGAGGAAAACATCAGAGTGCAAACCACTCTCCCCAGGAACAGGGTTCATTACACTGAGATTTAAATTTTCAAAAATGACAGGCTGATTGCTGTGTAACTAGGAGTAAATCCACAGCCTGCATATACAGTGGGTCATAGCTGATTATCTGCCCCCACCCCTCCATCTCTCTATAAGTTCTGGCTAGATCTTGGGATCTCAGAACAGAGCTAGTTGTTAATTGTGCTCTAAAACAAAAGAGGGATACATTCAGCAGAATTTATCAAAGCACAAATAAGAGGGCATTACTCTGGAAATACTGATTTCTACGTATTGTAAGGTGTATTTTCCAATGCTGAGTATTTCCAGTCCATCTGCGATTGGGATCAATTCAGAATCATCACATTTATTAGCCTGGAATGGGCTTGGCTCTCATATCTTCTACCACATAATTCAGCTATAGCTCTTGAGAAAAGTCTGAGACTACACATGAGTATGAATGAAATATTCGGTCAGGAAAAACAACAGAAAAGGAAGTGTGTAATATAAAAAGGCAGTGCCGGAACACCAAGGAGATGGCAACCTCTTTGATCTATTTGCATTTTTTTACACTAAGATTTTTTTCTTGTTGCCAACCTCAGCTTACTTGCAGCCCTTCACACAGGCTGCAAGCTACCTCACATGAACACAGTCTGCCCCTAGAATCTGTTCACAGTGCACTGCATACCCTTACGGACAATATATGATGACTGTATTTTGAAAAATGCAACTGTGTATTTTCTTCAAATTTAGGGCCTCAGTAATAAAAACAATCACCCACTGTTTATTCTCATTATATATTCATTAATTGGATTCTCCAGCTGCTGTCAATTAGCATCCTGCCTCTCCGTGATAAAAATGAATCTGTTACATGGCTGAGAGGTAAAAATCACATTCAATTTCTCTGTTAAAAAAATCTATACAGGCTATTTTAAACTTGCAAGAGATTTTAATATCATTAAAAATAAACACCCTTACATAAACAATGAGAGAAGAAAGTGATGCTGTCAGAAGAATCACTCCCTTTGTCTGTATGCAGTCGTCCTTGAATTATAAGTTGGGAAGACAGTGCTGTCAGTCACATTAAAATGCCCCTGTGATACCTCGAATTGTTAGAAGATATTACTTTTAGGAAGAAAGCACGTGTTGTTAAATTACTGAAATGTTACTACATTAATCTCCTCTGGGAAGAACCGAGAGCCAGAGCACCAAGTAAGCTGCATGCTAGGACTGGGAAGAGTTCCCGGATTAAAGACTAGACTGCAAGGCCCTTCCCACACTGGTGAGACTGGCAAGCAAGTTGTTTCAGTGAGATATGAGACACGCCAAGGCAGTAAAAGTCCTATTACAGTCCAAATTTAAAACAAGTTTATAATCTGTGGACCATCTAAAGAAATACCTCTTTAAGTAACTTCTCCATCAATGACTGTTAATTTCAAATGACAAATTTTCTGTAAACTTTCTAAGACAGAAGACTGTTGCCAGGCAATGGAAATTAACATAACCTGGCTTCAAAACTTCAAGAACAGTTTCTTCTCATACTTCTTGACCATTTAAAATGTGTCTGTGAGCTGGAAACTCCTTGCACAAGCCGTGGCAGCTGGGGCAGAGTGGCTGTGGGCAGCCTTGCCCAAGCCTCCCTCTGCCCGCAGCTCTGGTGTGGTGCATGTTCTCAGCCTGCCGATCATGGCTCACCACGTCACAGCTTGGAAGGTGGACCAGAGTTCTTCAAGGACCAAAGGATCCTGCTATCGGATACACGGTGGAGCTTTCCTCTGGCATAGTGTCCATTTTCAGTGCTAAACTATGAAACATTTCTTCTACAGACCCAGACAGAGAGAGGGGGCAAGGTACAGATAAATGTTTTTTTAGCAAGGCAAAATATTTGGTCAATTGCTCTGAATACAACAAACAGAAACCTCTAATGCTATCAAGGTGTAAATTTCTTCTTAACTGCCTATTTACTGTCACAGACCTTTAGAGATCTCAAGGAAAAAGATGCTTTCACACATCAATATTTAATATAAAGATAAAAGTTAATGTTTAATATAAGCAGTTATCTAAACTGGAATATAAATCCACCTCTCCAGAGGTGACCTTTTTGTGCTTTTGATCAGAACAACACATTTCACTTCTGGTTCTTTCTGTTCCAAACTAATACTGCTCTTCGTTTTGTGATTTCCCCACCCTCCCCATGAAAATAGCCTCCTTTGTTAACTGAATGGCAAAGATCTGTGTCTCACAGTGCGTGCATTACAAAGCAAGGAACTTCTCCTCTCTCTTTTCCCGGAAATCTACAGGGAGTTTAAACAAGTCAGCAGTGAAGAACAGTTTCAAAGGGTTTAGGCATGAAGCAGGAATCTGACTCCTTACCATCTCGAGACATTCCCAGGGCAAGACATTTCTGCAGTCGGCAGTGTTGGCAACGATTTCTGTTGGTTCTGTCAATTAAACAGTTTCTCTGCCTTGGGCAGGAGTAGGAGGCGTTGTTCTGCTGACTCCTCCGAAAGAATCCCTAGGGGCAAGAGAGCAAGGCAGAGAGAGTATTACCATGTGCACATATGTGCGTGCACACACACACACAGAGAATGATGTAAATGACTACAATAAACTCTTATTTAGTGCAATGCTACTTATGCTATGGCTTTACAGATGTGCTGGCCTTGTATAGTGAAATTAAAGAATATTTACTTATAATAAGGAGAATTGTGCTTTATTGTGTAAAGAATGTAATTCTACCTTGTTAAAACACAAACGGTAATGTTACAGAATGCATTCTTATTGTGCAATAACAACTGTGTATCATCTAATGCTTGCCCCTAACAGAGGAGACGCTTGTCAGCATTTGTAAATAGATGACTTAAAAGTACTCGTTCTGACTATTTCTTCCTTTAATGAAAGAAACTGGTAATAACCAGCACTGACTACACATAGCATTAGAAGCTGAAGTCTGCTGTTCAGTTTAACCCAGCAAACGTTGATCTGATCTGGAGGGACCATACACTTCAGGAGTGAAAAGTAATTCAAATTCAGGCATCACAAAAGCACTAGGATTTAATGACTGTATCAAGTAAAACCAACACATAAAGGAGAAAACAACACCTTTAGACACTACCATGAGAAAGCAATGACATTTTCCATTTCAATGAAATATAACATTATCCATTTTATCTATGTAAAAGTTTGTGGTTATTCTATGTCCTAGAAGGTTTTTTCTGGGCAGTTGTGGGATATTTGACCAAAGATCAGAGGCCTAGAAGGAGACTATTAACCTATACATAAGGCCTTACAAGCTCCCAGTCGCTACGAACGACACTGAGGGGTTATGGTAGAAGTGACATGAAATGGCAGATGTGACAAGTGCAATGAAACCAGGGCTGAGAATTAGAGACAGAAAGAGAGGGAGAAGGCATTTTATGATATTCTTTTCTTTCCTGTAAAATTAAGGACAGGAGGAACAGCAAGTCCAGAGAGAGAGAAACAAAGAAGAGAAGTTCCTTGACCACTTTGGCACCTTTAGCTGCAGGTGTCTGCAGGGTGGTGTGGTGGGAAAGCTGAAGGATAGCCTAAACAGTGCAGGAAACCATGAGGAGAAAAAAGGCAGAAAGCATCACTACTGCAGTTACACTAGTCACCAGAAGTGATGCCAAAGTAGTTGTGCCTTTCTGGGCTGGTTTGCAAACAGCTCTAAATGGAGCCAGAAAGCAAGAGCTGACTTCATTTATCAGGCAAAATCAGTGTTATCTCCGCACAGGCTGATGGATGATAATACCAAGCAATGGAAATTGCATCAGCCGTGCATTTTGGGGGAACAAGAGTGGGGATGCAGCAAGGTTACAGTGTCACAGGGCTCAATTTGATTGCTACAGGTAGTGTCTGAATTTTCTCTCAAGTCCTGGTGAACCCAGGTGTGGGGTGTCAGTAACAATAGGCGACAGGCATGGCGTCCCACCAAGGACGCTGGCAGTGCTAGTTCCTGAGGTTGAGCGTAAAGACACTCACTTTATCTGGCCTGTGCTGGTTTTATCAGTGATTATAGTATATCTAAAAACTAAATTAATTTTTATGATCCACACTTTTGAGAACACGGATGTTCTTAGGCAAACTCTTAGAAAAAATCTGGTGAGTACTTATTTGATCCTGGTTGACCAAAACTTTCCTGAAACTGTGGAAATGAGTTTAATTTAAGGCTAAATGGATGCTAATTGCAGATATTTCCACTCTATTTGCTGAACTTTACAGCTAATTTTGTTTTTGACATGCGAAGGGTTTTCTGGTTTAAACATTTAGATTTCAGCAGCCTCTATATGGATATGGGTTTGAGAGAACAAATGAATTAACGTTAAAAAAACCCCATACAACCATCTAGCATTGACTGTGCCTTATCCTGTAGTGCTGTTTTGTCCCATTAAGGCTGATCTCATCTCAGAAGAATTTGTTTGTTCATTCTTTGCCCCTCTTAGGAAAAAATCAAAGGTTACATAATAAAATTAATCTACAGCAGGTAATTTATTTTTCCAAGGAGACTTTTATACTCCCTTTCTCCTGAATAAAATCTAAATGTTGTCTTACAAAGTACAGACAATCCTTTCATTTCATTTTTAGGGGATCTTTATATAATATTGGCTATATTTACTGAGAATAATTCCATTTGGGGGAAGGAGGATGCAGTTCATTACTGAAGAGCTACAGACTTAAAGACAGGTTTCCCAATATTCCCAACACTGACAAGAAGTCTTTCTGCATCTTGAACAAGTGACTTTATCGTCACCGACTGTCAGTCTGAGAAGTGAAATGGTCACACAAACTGCCATCTAAATCATGACAGAAGAGTGGTAGCAAATACTTTGCTCCAGGGGTAGGCAGGAGAGATGATAAAAGGCATCTCAGCAGAATAAGGAGCCACAGAGACAGACGGGATGGAAACCTGTCTTCAGGTTTCACCCTTTCAGTGACAACAGTGGCAGAGCCACCATTTTCTTCAAAGGGTCCAGCAGGTTATTCAATGTATGCAGGCATACACACAAAACGGCAGGAATATCTATGATGCCCCTTTTAAGCACGTATAATATGCATTTGCAACAGCATAGCTAATACAGGGTCATGGAGCTAAAGGATTTCCTGTCCCTTGAAGTCTGTAGCACCGCCACCGGCAGTACAATCCTCGGATGCTCCGTCCTGAAATGCTGTGGCTGTCTGGTGCCTGGCTAAACATGCGTGCGTGCTTGTGGAGCGCTTCTCACCTCTTTCTTCCACGCATGGTCTCCCTCTTAATTCATTCAGATTTCTAACGCATTCAGACAAAAGGAGCCAGAAATGACCAGTTATTAGTATGCAGGCCGAGCAAATAATTATTTAATTGCTAGGCAATGACAGTGCTTACCTTAAAAGTGAGCTCTGACAGACTGAGATGCCTCCCATAAGACCTGCTGTGAAAACTGACATCTTTTTTCACAACAGGCTCACAAAGCAAGATTAGACTAATTGATCTGATACTGCAAAACTGGCACAAAAACAATAGGGTTAAAACTGTCGTAAGTGGAAGAGAAGCTCTTTATCTCAATAAGCGGTCTACACACAGAGCTGAGGGGTATAATCTCCTCTTGAGGCACACACAAGGGCCAGCATTAACCCTAATCACATCTACAGCAGACTCTACCCCTAACTGCTCTGTGGGCACTCAGTACTGAGACAAGACACTTAATGCTTAAAGCATTTTTCTGCTGTAGCTTTTGTGCCAATTTTGAAGTATCAGATCAATTAGCCTAATCCTGTTTCATGTGATCATCATAAGAAGATGCTTACTTCTAGTCCAGTGTCACAATAAGACAGTGACACACTGCAGGTGGTTCCATTTACAATTGTTAACGTTTCTGAAAGAAATCTGCTCATTGACAATGTATTGCTTCTCCATGTGTTGGCATTAAAATCTTTCTTTTGGGAATGAGTGTACACAAATTTTCAGATTTTTCAGATGTTCAAAAAATTTTGTAAAGCATTAAGTAAATACTGACTTGCCATTTCACTCTACAAATACGCACCCACTTTCAAATGTACCATTTTGTGTGTTGCCACATAGAAGAAATCAGAGAAGCTGCCTCTCTGTCTTTGCAATTTCACATTTACAGTCAAAGTTGGAATACCAACATGTAGTACGAAATTCTGGTTTTCCATGAATAATGATGTAATTTCTTAGATAATAAAATCACAGAGTATTTTTAAAGCTGAAAACTGAAGCCTTTCTTCTCTTGGCTTGAAGTCTGATTTGTGTTATTTGAACTAATGCCTGGGATAATATGTTAATATGACTAAGTAGCATGGAAGGGTTTTTTGCCATTTTATTTTTTTTCCTTAACCTTCAATTTCCAGCAATTACCCTGTGCTGGACCCTATAAGGAAGAAGACAAAGGATCCTTTTACACTACTTATAATGGAAGGCATTTTTTGTTTTGAAGATTACAATTTGGCTTGCAGAGAATACAAAGGGGATAAATAGGACCAAACTGACACCTGTAAGCTTTTAAGATATTGAACCGAGATACTGCACCAACTTTTAATGCTACATAGGTTGTATAGGAAACAAGATAAAAAAATCCATCTCTCAAGCTGATTTAAGGTAGAACAGGTGTGACTTACAGTTGCCAGCCTCTGTATCAGCACTTATACTGCATCAGATGTGATTAAGTCATGTTCCAAATGAGGAGGTAACTCTAAATACTATTTGAAGAAAAGGAAAGCAACTAGTAAAGCTAGGCATGAAACACATCTATATCAGCAGCAGGCTTTACAGCCTTTGGCACCACTTGCTTGAAAGTGTGTAAGAGTGTATTATTGTACACAGATGCCTGAGGCTAATTCAGATGCTGATGACTATGCGGTATTAAAATCTCATACCTTGCAGCCTTCGCATGTGATGACTCCATAGTGTATTCCAGAGGACTTATCACCACAAATTTTGCATGGTATCACTTCAATTTGTGCTGAAAAAAAAACATAACCCAAGACAAATATTTTGAGTATATAATTCTATTTCATTTCTTTCTTTCTCAAATGAAGATCTTAAAAATGAGAGCTAGACAGCAGATAACATGTTCACCCCCATGACAATATAAAACTGCTTTGTATTGTACTGTGTGTTTCTGAATGCTTTGATCTGGCAAATTTGAATTGCTTCACATTATGTAGTTTCTACCACACCCCACAAAACTCTTCAACAATTTAAGATACTTCATGATTAGCAAGTCTTTCCTCAGATTCTCCTTTTTTGTTTTCATTTGCTAATTTCCTCATCATTATTGCTAATGACAGTCATTAGGGGTCCTAAATAATTGCCTAGATTTTTCTTGCTTACACGACTTTTCATTTTGCTGAGCTAGAATTACATGGTATATTTTGATGCATTTTTCAAAGCAGTAGAGGTGATGAAGTTTTTGTGTTGTTCAGATTATGGCTTCATGACACACAAAGGTGTCAATCCCATTGGCAGACATGGGCTTGCAAATTATCGTTTAACCTCTCCATCTCTTCAAACTATTTGTTGCAGCACAAGGTTACAGGCAGGAAAGGCCCACAGACTGAGTTTAAGTAGCCAGTGGCTGTGTGCTGGGAGAGGCAGGTACTATCTGAAAATGTCTGAGTATGGATATGCTTCAGATCCTTTTATAAACATAATGGTCATTTAATTCAGAGAAGAAAAACATATTTCACTATTTTCCATATATTTTTTTTGCTAACATAGCTGTTTTCTTCCCTCAAGTACTTTGAATCCTGTGTGTGTTTCCTTTGATGACATTGTAAGACTGCATACTCTGAAATGTAGGGAAGGATTGTGCCTTTATTCTAGTCAGATGAGTTAAGAAGAAATGGAAACCTATTTTCTTTTGCTTTCATTTGTTTTCCTATGTGGGATGCATGCCACCCTGCAATCCTCCTGCCACTTGGCAGTACGGCAGTAGCATCATACTTGGTAAGTATCAGTACTCCCGATCGATAGATGTCTTTCCTCAATGCCCAGGGCAACAATAGCAGCAGTTCTCTGCAACACAAGTCACTCATCAAATCCTTGGGTAGCAAAATTTACAGCTCGTGTAGTAGGGCTACTCTGAGCACAAGGATTGCTAGCCATTAGTACTTTAACTGGACACATTCAACTCCAAAACGGCTTGGGAGACAGGTAAACAAGATTATTGTCCAGATGCTCATGCTAAGAAAAGCATCCCATTTCAAACCTGTGGGCAGCCAAAAATGTTATAAATGCTGGAAAAAGACATACTTAAAAATGACTGCACATTGTAAGCTAAGCACTAAGCATGCTTGTACAGTGGATGCTGTGACAATGTAATGATGTAGTCTGGATTTTGCCCCATTTCTACCTATGGTTATCATTTATCACTCTTAGTAGAAGCCAAGAGTTTCCTAAGAGTTACCTTCCTACTACCATGGGATTAAACAACCAAGACTCACAACCAAGTCCTGCAGAGCCGTCACATTTCCCGTTGAAACGTGCATTGCATCCCCTAGTTCCCTAGGCCCCTACTTAACATAGAGCCTTACCAAGGTAAAGTCCACAAGGTGAAAGATAGCAGGCCCTCTTCTCTGGAAAGTCAAGTAACTATTCCCTTGGGATGCCATATCCCAAAGGAACCAGGGAAGACATTCACGAATGGCTAAAGAGACTTTAGTTCCTCACAGTTTCCTGAGATGTTGTCTCTGATTAAGCACATTTTTAGGCAAGGCTTAGGCAAGCAAACCAATTTTTAAACTGCTCCTAACCCAGGATGGATAGAATTAATTTTATTGTAGGAAATAGCAATTTGTTTTTAATATATTCTGGATGGGGACAACCCAGAAGGAGAATCTTGCCTATCTTTCTACTGAAGAAAGTTCATATATAGAAATAAAATCTCCTATGTCATCCACAATTTTTGGGTTAGCTTCTGTATCCCATTTTGTTTTCATGAACTAGATGGTGCTAGTTTCTTTCCCTTCTTAAGAAACTAATACGCACTAGCCATCCTGCCATGATAGATGCATAAAAAATAAGGCAACTCCTTACAGAAAAGCATCTGCAGCTCCTTGGCAATTTTGCCAGGTTGATCCTGCCCAAAAATTCCTATGCCTTATCTCCATTGAGATAATTAAAACATTTAAACATGCACCTCCAGGTACTGCTGTTTGAGAGGTAAATTTGAGTAATTGCTCACAGATCTCTGCTTGAGAGTCATGTGGAGGGAGCAAGGCTCAGCTCTGGGACCACATGCTGCTTTATGTTGATAAGCCTCAAAGACATATGTCAATGTCAGAGGCAGGAACTACAGTGGGAATGTGAGAAGATCTTCAGGAAAAGACAAGACAAAGGAAGAAAGAAATCCCAAAACAATATGAAGGTACCTTTTAATGTGACTTGCGTATACAGTTTGTAACTGTGACAGGAAGAGAGGCAGAAAAATTGATCCTGTGACACTACTTGCATTTAGCACAGTACTAGTCACTGTGAGCAATCAATAATTCCATGCATGACTTGCAATTATAAGCACTATGTTCATGGTGAATATTTGTGGACTAGCTCACTAAATGCTAAGGCTCTGGGTTTAAATTAATATGAAATAAATATTTTAGGCTTGCAACTCATCAGTTAATTCAAATCCTTATTCAAATCTAACTATTCTATACATTGGTATGTCTAGGAAATTGCTACCATGGCTGCTTAGAGAGCTCACAGAAAACGCAGCATGTTTAGGACAGAGAAGGCATTTGAAGAAGTTTGGAAAGGTAGACTCTGCTATTGTCTCCGAGGCATTTCTCTTTGTTCATAAGACAGCAGAACAATTTAAGGATTCATAACAGAAAACTTGAGTCATTAATTGTACAGGCCAGATGAAAAAGAAGCCACTGTGTTCCCAGAAACCTCTTGAATTACTGTCGTTAACACCCAGTGTACTAGGTTTCTTTTGCAGATTTAGTGATTATCATTGGCTACTACACCTTTTTCACATTGTATTTTTGTTCAGCTGCCTATAATTTTATGTTGTTTTTCTTCTTCCCTTCTCCCTTAGACCAACAAACAGTTTAGGGACCTGTATATCCTACGTCTCTTTATAGCTATTATAAAATAACCAGCTCGCTTCTGAACTCCTTACAAGTATAAAATGCATTGATTCAGTACTGCTTCCTGAATCTTGAGGCAAAAATCGAATGAACAAATAATAGTGGAGTTGCCACAATGATAACTTTCAGCAGCACAGGGATAGAACTTATTTTCTTCCAATGCAGTAAACATGAAGAAGGAATAAGAGCAAAACTACTTATTTCCACTTTTAAAGTCCTTCCATTTGCCTTCTTACCCATCAACTTTAACAATGTGAATAAGAATAATGGCTCCTGCCTCTTTTCAAGCAATAACACAGGTCTTAACTGTCCATTTGTCCAATTTTTTGACAAGCACATTCAGTTTTCATCCTGTCTTGAGATGTATCACTCAATAAAAGCCTGCCAAACCATCATCACCCTAATGTCTAACAAAACATTTACAATGTTTCAATACATGCTGCATTGTCATTGCTCTTTATCACCAACTGTAGCTTCTCACATCAGTACCACAGTGTCATCTCATCTTTCTGTAGCATTCATCTCTTATTTTATACCTAAATTTAAAGTTCTTTGGGGCTGGGAACTGCCTCTAGTTTTATATGGCACCCTACCAATTAGAATGCCACAATGGAAATTAATTCATTCTACATGATTAGTAATGCTAATCCACAGCTGTTAGTTTTACCACCTGGAACCTAACTCATTCTCTCAGGACAACAGGAAGAAGGGTGGAATTCTATTAAGGAAGTAACTACAAAATCATCTCACACATTGATTCTGTGATTCTATGATTTGAAATAAACACTGGGATAGAAACAAATATATACTTAAAACCATATTCAAAACAAGCATTAGCTATTTTCTCAAATGCTGCCCAAGAGAAATAAAGTAGTACACTGAGCTGATTTTTTTCTTTTACTAGCAAAAAATTTACTCATGGGCACAAAATTCATTATCCTAAAAGTAGGGCGATAATCAAGTTTCACGAATTGTTATATTGGTGAAATTAGGAGTAAATCTGGAAGGAGATACACAGTTAATTTGCTGAATTCCTCTTGAAACAAAGATAAGAATCAACAAGGCAGACAATGTGTCTGTTGTGTATTTGTGAGGACTGCCACTCACATGCATATGTTATCTAATCAGAAAAAAGTGAAGCTCACATTTTATATAATCTCAGTTTAACATCTGAGGAACTTCATTCAGGAGAGACAGGACTATAATCTCCCAGACCTGTAGCTTTGATTCCAAGGGAAAAAAAGACTCGAGCTTTCAATATTTAGTTCTTGATCAAAAAAGGATACTAAAGCATGCTGGGCATGAACTTTGAAGAGGAAGTCCTCTCTCTAATTTGTTGATCCAGGAGGGATTGCATTTGGAAACATCAAGGCTAATCAGAGAACGAATAGCAAAAAAAGCAGCTCCTTCACCTTCCAAGAATTCCCATTATCCTTAAGCTGGAGTCCTTTGAAAAATGCTAGTAGATCAGACCAGTTCACTTTCATGTTTGTATCCCTAAGTGATTTCAAATTAAGAATATTCAGCATTTTTATCTAGTTGCCAACTCTGCTTTTTTTATCCTGAGCTCTGTGAGTAAGATAGGCTTTTCTTCTTGCACTTTACCATCAATAGAAGTTTCCACTTTAGGTTAAGCTGCCAACTAGATCTTGGTATCCCCTTTGCCACTGGTTTAGATATTCTGTGGCTTCACAGCAAGAATTCAGGTGCTTTGCGTTTGTATTTAATAATCTGAAAATACACAGCTGAGGATACCAGTTATGTTTTCAGCCTCTGTTGTATCTTATGCAGTGAGAGCTACATAGCTAGCAGTATCTCAGCAAGCTAATTAATGCCAGCTAATGTTAATTAATATATCTATAGATGCATTTGC